CCATAAGTTTCAGTACGAATCGATCTCTTCTACTCAGGCTTGGCCCTTGATGATAAAAAAAGGAATTAGATTACATCACGAATTGATACTTTATCTAACGATCTAACTACGCGAAAATTCTAATCGTTAAATAATAAGTGAGATATGTATCAAATACCCGATTTCAAAATTTTGTAGCAGTACCCCAAACGTGTGAACAGTCATCGAGGCTAGGTCTAACGATTCAGGTCTAGCCCTTCACTAAATACGCTCTGGACGCACTACACCTCCAATGACGATTTGAGACTGTACAAGCAAAACGTACGAGTAGCGTCTATCTCAGCTTTTAGCCAGGCTGGTTGTATGATAAGAAATGTAAACTCATCCTTGATCCTAAGGTATTTCAGCCTTTTCCCCAAAAACAATAGTGACTGGAAAAAACAAAATAAGTGGTACCATCATATTCAAACAACGTATAAGATCTGGTACTAGAATTCAACAATATTTGTCTAATCCGTCGAGAGTGTAAGTGGAAAATTACAAGCATCGTCCAAACAGACAACTTGAGTTACATTCAGTTTAAAGCGGAATCAAAATGAATGGAAAATTTTAATTGGCATGTGTATCTTCTGGAACGATCATATTGAATCGGCAAATCGAGACTTTTAGCTAGTTCCAATTGCTGCTCTGTTCAATAATTCCACAACCCAGACGGCACAATGAATTACATCGACAGTCTTTTCAGTTTTATCCGAACTGTAACCTTTGTCCTTCAGTTACTTTCTGATCATGATTGCAGAATGGCTCAAAATACTGAGGAGCTGTCCTGCGTTCACAAAAATCGATGGAGTAATTAAATGTTAAATGCATGAAAACAGCTAACCGCCAACCGTATGCAGGGCTGTTTCATGCTTACCGGCAATAATTAGCACGGTCTTTTTTTATACCGAAGCAGCCGCGCAGGCAGAATCCTGAATGCCGGGACACAGCGGCTCCTATGATGATCCCAAAGAAATTTTGTTAGTCTGATTTTTGAACTGCCTCAGGTTAGTAGAACCTCTTGTAGATTGTTCCACAGTCTCGACACCCTCGGGACAAAGGAGCGGTCGTATCGGCTGGTTCTGGATGTACGAAGTTCGACACGGTTAGGATGGGACGCCAAAGTTAGGCGGGTTTGTCTGGCAGGCAAATCGCGCGGCGGAATCATGGAAGAGAGCTCCGAGGAGCAAGGCCCGTTGGTGTAGCGGTAGAAGAGAGCTAGATCGCCGACGGCCCGCCGGTGCGAAGGGGTCCCGAGACTGTCTTTTAGAGAAGAATAATCGATTAGTCGGACAGCCCTCCTCTGGACAGCATCGAGCTTAAATAATGTAGTCGGGGCAGCACCAGAAACGTGTGCGCAATACTCGAGGCTAGGCCTCAGCTGGGCCTTGTATACAGTGAGAAGGTCATGCTGAGAAAAGTACTTCTTAACCCTGAACAAATAGCCTAGCTTTTTTCGCTATTGACGAGATGTGTTCGTGCGAGATCAGGTTCTCGGTGATCTGGACTCCGACCAGCCGAAGTGGATGGCTGTTTGGCAGAACTCGGTCATCCGTCGAAACCGGATGAGCGCTAGTACGCTTTTTGTTCGTCAAGGTACAGTACTGTGTTTTAGAAGCATTAAACTGTACAAGGTTGTTGTGTCCCCAAGCAGTGATAACCCTCAGGTCTCTCGTCAGAGAGGAAGTCGCCGCTAGTCTTCTTTTATCCAGCTCAGCGGCAGAGATCGGCTTGTCACTCTGAATTCCTGCATGTAGAGTGCATGGATTGGGTTGATCGTGCAGGTCTCTAGATAGGACAACGAACAACAGCAGAGCCAAAGTATCATCTACCAGAGGTGTAAGATCTATCAAAATATGACCACAGAAGAGCCATTTATAAAGACATTGTCTTCCAAAAGAGGTGGAACAAACTATTTTGAGACACTCATTCCAAAAGAATGCTGGAATGTCCTCCTCATCGGCAAACCTCAGGGATGAGTGGCAATGGAGCTCTAACCCGCAAAAAAAGAATTGTCGTGGGGAGCTCCTATGTGTAAAAGGAATGACTTTTGAAGTTGAGCTATTTAAATTTCTTAAATAACTGAACTATAAGTTCCGAAATTTCCACAGAGACAGGGACTGCAAGACCACAAGGCACATGCTTTTAAGTTGACCGACAGTTTTTAAAATATTTTTTTTTCAATGTTATCTACAAGAACCTTGTCGAATAAAACTTGATAATAAATGTAATAGGTGTTAGACTATGGAACAGGTTACTTAACTAGTTCAATTAACATAAACCAACTAGGAGTTTTTGCGATTATTCTTGAATCAACGTCATAAAGAAATTGCTTGTAATCGAATCGTTATAAAACATGAGTACTATATTACATGATGGACATCGCATTTTCTGTTCAAATTACAAATGGAAATTTTATTAAGTCTTTAAAAATTATTAACTAGTATTTTGCCCGAGTAGCTGTTATTTTCCTTTGAAATACTTGAAGTAGTATCCCAATTCTTCTATGAGTTTCATTTATTACATACCATTTAGAGAGTACCCTAGGCCTGTTAGGTACATAGGCTTCATACACATAAAAAAAGTTGAGTGTAAATGACATACAAGCCTAAACACCACGTAAAAAGATGTTTAATTAAGAAAGTTTCCATAATACTTTTTGACTGTGAACGTATTAAAATAAAATATTTGATCCCTTAGATTTTTTACAGCTTAATATAAATCTCATTATTTCAATAATATACAACTCTTACGCACTTAGTCGTTAATTTTATGTCAAAAATCAGAGAACTACAATTTTTCAAGCTGTCAATTCATTGGTATCTAATATTTCTGTAACAAAAAACATTATGTACACGAGACTATTCTAAAGAGTTAAGAAGAGCTCATCAAAATTATTTGACTAAAGAAAATCATTTATACTGCAGTATGGAATAAGACACAATATCTCAAAAACAGTGAAACTTTTACTAGGGTCATTTTTTGGTATGGTGTAGATCTGCCCTTTGTCTATCGTCCCTAGTTTTTTGCCGTACTATTTACCGGATAATGTCCTGTAAAAGCGGCGAAGGTTGAAAAACCTTGGAACATGGATATTGTGGTTTTCTGTTGTCTGTAAAGCTGCACGTACATTTTTAGGAGTTGTGTGATTTTCCTCTGGCAAATATAACCGAATGTTGTCTATATTTACACTATGAACTTAAATTGCGTGGGCAAGTATTTTTGTTCGACTTCGGAATGAATGATTCGGGAATTTTCTAGATATCTATAAAATTGACCTGATTGTTATTCAATAATTCATGTTTTTCTCTGAAAAATGTACGGATCAGTTACCAGTAGATGGCTTTGCTTCCCGTCTATCTCTTCTACTTTCTTAAAAATTGTATTGATTGTGACTTTATATATGTTCTTTGAAAACGACGAAGGTTGAAAAACCTTGGAACATAGATATTGTGGTTTTCTTATGGTGTCTGTAAAGCTGCATACACATTTTTAGGAGTTGTGTGATTTTCCTCTGGTAAATATAACTGAATGTTGTCTATTTTAGACTATGGACTTAAATTGCGTGGGCAAGTATTTTTGTTCGATTTCGAAATGAATGATTCGGGAATTTTTCAGTATATTTGGGTCACTTGTACATACGTCCTTCCCAGGCGATTCGAAGACTGGAAACTTGGAAAATGTGTTGACGTCATTGCTCCGATGGGCACAAAGACGTTTTGGGCCCATAACTCTGGTGTTATTTATTACAATTAATATTGATTGGCTCTGTAGAAGGTCCAGATAAAACCTAGCCTCAAGGACCGCTCACGTATTTGGGGACCTGCCGCCCTGACTACATTAGCCTCGGCTGCCCAGAGGAGGGCTGTCCGACTGAACGGTGACTCTTCTCTAACGGACAGTCTTAAGACTCGTGTCAAACTTTGCACTTCCAAAACTCGCCGACACGACCGCTCCTTTGTTCCTAGGTTGTGGAACAATCTACCTAAGGAGGCTTTTCTCGGTTCTACTAACCTTAGGCAGTTCAAAAGGATGAAAGTATTTCTTTAAGCTCCTCATAGCAGCGCGGTGCCCTGGTATTTAGGCTTCTGTCCACGCGGCTGTTCCGGTACAAAAATGAGAAATCCACTTTCCCAAACATACTGCCAAAATTGACGGATAAAATCATGCCTTCCAAGGGTATCGATTACTAAAACATTTTTACAGCAATTTTGCATCGACGTCTTCTAATTATTGTTTAAAGTTACTCATTTTAATGAGTCTGATAAAAAGCGTCTTATATCTAATACGTTAATTAACTATCTTAATACCTGCAATACAAGTGACAATCGATTTGTAAAGCTTTGTACAAATCCGATTGTTTTTCAAGTGGGTATAGCATCATGAAGCCGGCCCTGTATAGTGGCATATGTTAGAAACCGCGATATACGATAGCAGAAGGTCGCGAATAATACTTTTTACGGTGAATGCAGATTTTCAGTTATTTGCACAATTTCTTCGATGTCGCTATTAAGGCAAACAACCTGAAGCACGTGGATTCTAAATTTAAACAATAATCTCAAGTACGTAGACCCGTGCTTTTGCGAGATTCCAAAATAAAACAAAACTCTCACATAGAGCAAGGCAGAGTATCGACCGTTGGAATGTTCCAGAACTGAAATTTCAGCGCTCATTTCAACCCGTAAGCCAGTAAATTACCGGAAATATTCGGCTGGTTCGTCGATCATAACCTTATTAATGAACTTTTGATGATAACGATACTCTCGTGTCATGAAGCTTGCACAATATTATAAATACAGTGTGATATGTAAACAAAAGAGGGGTTGTTTTAAAAAAGCCGGTCCCAGGATATGGTTAGGTTTATTTTGTTTATACGGATGTGTCAACGCGAGACGAATCTATGACGAAAATCAGGTGACAATACTAAAGCTCAGGGGAAGGGAGAAGTATCAACTTGATGCGTATCTTTTGAAAAAACTTACCCAATTTCTGGTACCCCATTGTTCGATAAAAGTAGTCGCCCAGCTTGGCTGTCGATGAGTGCTACTCGGTAAAACCCTGTAATAGTGCTCACTGTTACCCTTTGGCATAATCACAATCACAAATCAATCAACTGGATTACCGAAAAAAAAAGAAACGAAGTAAACGCGAAAACAAATACGGTGCGGCGTTTGACTTTTTGAATTCGGTGACAGATGTGACGTCGGGATCTGTGGAGTTATATATATATGCGGCGTGTTTAGTCCTGTGCTAGTCAGAGTGAGACATACGAATGAAGAGAGAATGACTATGCTCTGTTATATAGTTACGTTTTACCTGACGCTGCGCGCATGCCAATCAACAATTTGAAACCCTTGCGGAAACCAGATGGTGGATTTTGGATTATGATCTTAGGATGAGGGCCTCATTAGATTTGTCCCATCATATTATTTCGATCAAATTCACACGTAGATCCACCGAACTTGATCGATGACAAAGCTTGCGAAGCTTTCAAGTCTTTTATCCTCAACATGGAGGCGCAAACTCAGGATACCAGAATTTTTGCAATCTAATATAACATGGATAAATATTCGTATAAACTTATTACTATTCTTTCGTACCTTATCCGTTATAGTTATATGTAAAGAATCTAGTTTTTTTCATTTCTTTTCTTGCTTGACTGTCTTTTTTAATTTTAGATTGTGATCTAAGTGTAAAGGACCTCATTCCGAAAAGGTTTTTTATCTTATTCCGCTAAAAACTTTTTAGTCTTTAATCGATAACAAAGCTTATAATGCTTAATTGGTTTATCCATAAAAAGAACGCGTAAACTCGGTATGACAAAATTCTTGCAACTCAGGATTTCACACAGGAAATTTCGTATTAACTGATGATATTTACATTGTCTAATCATTATAGATATATTTTTAATTACCGTGTAATCGTGACGTATTGGAAATCATCATTGAATGATACCTATCTGCGAGTATAAGAAGTCAAGCTTTGAAAATATTTATTGGTATTGTCAACCGGATTTAAGGTTTTACAAAGCTTGCAAAGCTTTGTCTATGGTAAGGATGATAAGAATATTTCGTATGGAGAAATATTCTACTAATTAATTAATCTATCTTACTCGCCATGCGAAGTTTAGTTTCGAAAATCTCTACAACTTCCTTATACTTTTTTTAACTTTTTGTAATACTTTGAATTGTGATCAACAGTTGAATGTCGTATACAGAAAGCGTGCACAGCTCAGGACGCTGGAACAATTTCACAAGCTTTTGAAATATTTACGTCATTTCCTTTACTTTGATTATATAATATATTCAATATATATATATATATATATATATATATATAACAAAAAGTAGGAAAATAATGGGTAAAATCCGCAAAAAGGAGAAAAGTGGATTCGAGCAGAAAATAGGATAGGTAACCCGAGCGATACATATTTCTGCTGGTTGGCTTCATCAAGCCCGAAATGAATGCACATATGAAACTACAAAAGTAGATACACATGCCCACACATCCAGATACGGGTGTAACCTGAGGAAACGAAGATGGAGAGGAAAAAAAACGACACACGAAGTCCACAACAAGAGCCAACCTACACATTGTAGTATAAAATGGCTAGAAGACCTCGAATTTTCAAGGAGACATCTAAGCACAACCTCGCGGCCGGTTATAGCCACTTGCTGTGGTACTTCAAGCCCAAAGGATTTACAAAGAGAACGTTATCATGCGGAGAAAGGTATATAACAAAAAGTAGGAAAATAATGGGTAAAATCAGCAAAAAGGAGGAAAGTGGATTCGAGCAGCAAATAAGATAGGTAACCCGAGCGATACGTATTTCTGCTGGTTGGCTTCATCAGGCCCGAAATGAATGCACGCATGAAACTACAAAGGTATATATATATATATATATATATGCCCACACATCCGGATACGGGTGTGACCTTTTTGCGGAGTTTGCCCATTATTTTCCGACTTTTTGTTATATACCTTTCTCCGCATGACCATTTTCTCTTTATATATATATGTATTGTAAAATGTTTTGTTTTAAGGCCTTTAAATTTGTGCTGCAGGACGGTCACCGAACCAGAGCGATTTCAAAAAAAATGTATAAGCTGAGAAATCATTCCATACGGCGAAATATTCATATTACCCGATTATTTCTTATAACAAATTAAGAATCGAAAATATTTACAGCCTTATCACCTATTTAATGAGGGCCTTCTTCATTTTCTTTTTTTATATTTTGAATTGTGTTTAATAGTTAAAGGCATTATTGTGGTGGTCAACCAAACTTGATTTACCGATTACAAAGCTTTATCCATAAAAAGATCATAAGGAAAATATTCATATTAACTAATTATTCTTACATTTTCTATTCGCCTTTTGCAGTGAAGCTTCGAAAATATTCACGTCCATTTTATTTCTTTGGCAAAAGAATATTTTCGTTATTTTTTTCACCTTTCTAAATTTTACATTGTCATTATTCTGATTTTTCATTGCATTGTTTACTCGGTTATTGACCCTCTGAATATTACGCCGAAGAAATCAGTAACAAAAGTTTAATTCTTCAATCTACAAAAAAAAAAACTCCCAGTAGAACATACATATTTTATAATATTCCACCTAGGGAAGTATTCATATTAACTAATTGGATCTTTGTAAAGCAATTGTCTGTATTGGAGCAAATCTTTCATTTGCGTTGAACCCTTGAATGTTAACAAAACTTACAAAGCTTATTTGTTTATCCATAAAACTTAGTATGACAAAATCATCTAATCTAATCAACCCCTATCACTATAACGACATTCTGATATGACTCATCATATTATTGCATGTAAACTCACGCGATCTTTCAACTGCTGAATGTTCCAGTAAAAAATCAATTACCAGGGCTTAACTCGGTTATCCTTAAAACGAGCGCGAAAATTTTGTACGACCAATTACGTTGCCATTTAATATTTAACACTAATTATTTTTTCATGCTTGATTCGTTATGTGGAGTTGAATATATATATATATATATATATATATATATATATATATATATATATATATATATATTTATTATATTTTTATTAATGAAAAGATTTTCACCATAATGATTAGTTTTGTTTCGAAATTTGACCTGTTTCCAGCTCCGAAAATCCTGATCCTTTGAACTCGCAGCAGTCAAGATGTACGTCTCGGGCATCCACATATTTATATATTAAGTGTTATGGCCTTTTTGACCCAACAAAGGATTTCGCCAATGTTGACGACACTTGACAATAAAAAAATTCGCAACGATAGAAAAATTGGTTATTATCCAATTAATTCCAATAAGTTTATTCGTCTGGTTCACCAAACGTGTGAGTACCGAATGCTAAATTTAGATTTTATATTACAATTTAATGACGGAAAGTTTTTTTAATGCATGTATTGGATAAAATAAACCAAACGATGTATGCTGATATACATACATAAACTGATTGAATTAATATATGGATCGTTTTCAATTGTTTTCTATCTCCTACGTACTTGTAACTAGCGGTTAGGTTATCATTGTCATATAGGTTTTGGTATATACAGTATGAAGTGGTATACACAAACTTTTGTTCTCTCGATGCGATACTGTTTCTCCTTGAAAAGCGTATCGTATTCGTTATGTTATGTTTTTTTTACAAAAATAGGTGGCGTGTTGATTTTCCGCTAGACATAAACATAAAGACTTGTTATCCTGAACGCCGCTGATGTTAGTACTTCTAAAAACAATTTTGTTCCGGTTGTAGTTGCGAGTAACTTGTCTCGATCTGTTTTAGAGAAACCTAAGGTGAAATAAAGATGGAAATTTGAACACCATTACAGAACAACACATTTCTGGGACTAAACCTATTTTCATATTTTAACCAAATGCGCTCGCGGAAACCTTTCAGGAGAAAGCGATTATACAAAAAGACTTTTTGTATGTTATGAAAGTGTATTAGAGGTAACCGGATTCTCTAGTGGAGCTCCGAACCTCCACGTGCCATTCAATTCACCTGAAATTTTGTATAAACCTAATCAATTTGACCGGAAACTTATTTAACAAACTGTATACGTATATTTAAAATAAGATGCATAAATCGTCTGAACAAAAAGACGTCAACTGAAAAGACTCTACCCCAATTATTTTCAAATATACGGATTATAAAAGTATCCCTATGATTTCTCACATTACAGTAGGGAGGAGGTGCGGCACTTTGGAATTTTCCACTCACTGGGGTTGGAATAAACATAACAGGTACAGATACGAGACGTTACAGGGTGGCCTCTAAATATTTAAAGGGTCCAAGCCATATAAAGGGTATTTCACGATTAAAATTCAACTTCATTTTTCAATGACTTCACCTAGAAACTTTATACTGAGTATGTCCCTATTAGGCACCCGGCAAATTACGTTATCAGTCATTTTAAGGGGGAGCACATCAAAATTGTGCAAGCGTGAATAACGATGGTGAAAAAGCAATAGCTTTTAAGCGAAAAAATGTCCGAACCAAAATGATTGAAATCTTTCACTGATTCGATATCATTATAGAGGATTTCCAGAGTTCTGTTAAACTTTCCAGGTGCAATTCTCGTAAATGTCAAGTTTTTTTTTAAACATATTCATCACTTGCCGCAAAAATGAATGTTCAAAGCTTACTAAAATATAGTTTAATGTCTGATATTTTTGTAAGTACCGAAAAGGACTTTTTTAAGTAATACAGAATTCATTACTTTAGAGTTAAAGTCAAGCTGTATCGTAATTGACAGGTAATATGATAAATACTATTATGACGATGCAATAATGAGATATTTCTGGTTTACCTTTGCGTATGATTTTCAACATGAGTTGTCTTTTTTTATGTCTGGCATCTTGTCTGTTGCCGTGCGAAATTATCGCCTTTTGATGAGCATAATTACCAACTTAAACATAGATCTTTTACTTATTCTCCAAAACAAAATAACATTATGGTTATCAAAGGGAGCTTTTCCTAACCGGTAGATAGATACTAATAGTGGATGCCAAAACAATGAAAGGCTCACTTGGATGTCGAAACCGAACC